TTGATGGGCAAAATCTTGCCGCTATAGGCCACCAGTTTCCATTGGAATTGCCAAGCCAACCGCATGCGAAAGTAGGTTTCCTACTTCCATGCCAAGGACATGTTCGAGAAAAAACTCTCGTCCGTACCACGCCCAGAATGTGGCCATGGTGCACCTGGGCTCGCAAGAAGAGGCGATTCTTCTGATCGGAAGTGGGGTAGCCCTTCCCATTGACTGAAGGAGCTCTACAACTAGCATTTCCACTGTTTTCATGGGTTTTCTATGATCAAGTGGGGCCATTGCGTTTGATGGGTGTCAAGTGACCTGTGCATGTCAACGTGGTGCACTACCCACCTGAGCTTTGGACCCGTCATGTGGATCGATCTGAAGCCGGTTGCGAGTCAGGCGTCGCCCGGAGAAGTTTTGGGTTGTGTGTTTCTCAAGTTCCCCAGCTGAAGACACCATATATTTATTAAAAACAAAAAAATATAAACTCTGGCGCGCTCCCCCATCGGCAGGGGTCGGCGGATATATGCGGATATACAAATAAATTGATAATTTAAATAAGAAAAAACACACACACACATATATATATACACACATACACATATAAAGAAGACACATGGATCGATGTATATATTATACACATGACATGTATGTAGAACATGACGCTTTCCCCTACTGTGTGCTGTGCCTCGTTTGCGCACCACGTTCTCTGCACGTTCTTTGCCCCACCCTGATCTCCGAGGTACACCGTGGGACCCTCGCGCTCGGACGAGGCGGACGACGACACTTTCCTGTCGACGCTGGTCTCTACGGTCGGGGGGACGGGCGCCGAGCGGTGTGGCCACGCGCAGCCGCTACGCGCGCGTGATACCTGAGCTGGACGAGGAAGAGTAGCGGCCGCAGAGGTGTGCACGGCTTGTAGCAATGCAGCATCAGCTCGGAAGAGGGAACTAAGTCCGAACCGCTGAAGATAAATGAAGTTTTGTGGGAAAGGCTTGGTGGTGCCAAACATTGAAGTCAGACCATTGATGTCAAAACATGTTCAAAGGAAGTTTAGAAGGAACTTCCGTGTTACGAACATTTACATCACTCATCATACACCACTCATCATACACCACTCATCACCACTCGTCAAACCACCACTCATCACACACCACTCATCATACACCACTCATCAGATTTCGTGGCAGGTGCAGCAATTTGTGTCGGTCGGCCGTCCATTGTGATTAGGTTTTCACTTGTCTATTGAAGTGCAGATTTCGTGGCAGGCGCAGCACTTTGTGAACCTCCATGTGCAGATTTCGTGGCAGGCACAGCACTTTGTGAACCTCCATGTGCAGATGTCGTGGCAGGTGCAGCACTTTGTGAACCTCCAGGTGCAGATTTCGTGGCAGGCACAGCACTTTGTGAACCTCCAGGTGCAGATGTCATGTCAGCCACAGCACTCTGTGAACCTCCAGGTGCAGATTTCGTGGCAGGCACAGTACTTTGTGAACCTCCAGGTGCAGATTTCGTGGCAGGTGCAGCACTTTGTGAACCTCCAGGTGCAGATTTCGTGGCAGGCACAGTACTTTGTGAACCTCCATGTGCAGATTTCGTGGCAGGTGCAGCACTTTGTGAACCTCCAGGTGCAGATTTCGTGGCAGGCACAGCACTTTGTGAACCTCCATGTGCAGATTTCGTGGCAGGCACAGCACTTTGTGAGCCTCCATGTGCAGATTTCGTAGCAGGCGCAGCACTTTGTGAACCTCCATGTATAGAGTTCGTGGCAGGCGCAGCACTTTGTGAACCTCCATGTGCAGATGTCGTGGCAGGTGCAGCACTTTGTCAACCTCCAGGTGCAGATTTCGTGGCAGGCACAGCACTTTGTGAACCTCCAGGTGCAGATTTCCTGTCAGGCACAGCACTCTGTGAACCTCCAGGTGCAGATTTCGTGGCAGGCACAGTACTTTGTGAAGCTCCAGGTGCAGATTTCGTGGCAGGCACAGCACTTTGTGAACCTCCATGTGCAGATTTCGTGGCAGGTGCAGCACTTTGTGAACCTCCATGTGCAGATTTCGTGGCAGGTGCAGTGGCAGCACTTTGTGAACCTCCATGTGCAGATTTCGTGGCAGGCACAGCACTTTGTGAACCTCCATGTGCAGATTTCGTGGCAGGCACAGCATCTGGCGAGCTGGAAGCTGAGAACTGGCGGCTCTTGTAGTACAACTTTAGTACGCGGAGTATCTGCTGGCGACTTTGTAGTACAACTTTAGTACGGGGAGTATCTGTGGAGCTGGAAGCTGAGAACTGGCGACTTTCTAGTACAACTTTAGTACGCGGAGCAATCTGTAGAGCTGGAAGCTGAGAACTGGCGACTTTCTAGTACAACTTTAGTACGCGGAGCAATCTGTAGAGCTGGAAGCTGACAACTGGCGACTTTGTAGTACAACTTTAGTACGCGGAGCAATCTGTGCAGCTAGAAGCTGAGAACTGGCGACTGTGTAGTACAACTGCAGTACGCGGAGCATCTGGGGAGCTGGAAGATGAGAACTGACTGGCGACTTTCTAGTACAACTTTAGCACGCGGAACAACCTGTGGAGCTGGAAGCTGAGAACTGGCCACTTTGTAGTACAAGTGTAGTACGCGGAGGAGTCATCTCTCGCTGCTGAGTCAGCTCTCGCTGCTGTGAGTCATCTCTCGCGACTGAGTCATCTCTCGCTGCTCATTCATCTCTCGCTGCTGAGTCAGCTCTCGCTATAGCCATCTCTCGCGGCTGAGTCATCTCTCGCGACTCAGTTATCTCTCGCTGCTGAGTCATCTCTCGCGGCGTGCAGGTTTGGCACAGTTCATACTGATAGTATTTGGTTGCATTTATGCAGGACAGGACATTCAACTGCTGGTCAATACACCACTCATCATACACCACTCAGCATACACCACTCATCATACACCACTCGTCATACACCACTCATCATACACCACTCAACATACACCACTCGTCATACACCCCTCTTGTCGTGGCAATGATACAACCCAGTACGCTGTTGTGAGCTGCTGATCCTGCAGGGGGCACACACCTTACACACGTGGAATCCCGTGGGTCAAAAGTCCGGAGCGCGTGCGTTTGACTGGAGGACGCGCATGTTGTAGAGAACGTGGACACTCCTATAGGTCAATTTCTTCTTATATGAAACTTCCGCCGCCGGCTTGCCCGGGAACTACTTGTAAAAGCAGACCTCTCCATGTGCTTTGAACAGCAGACCTCTCAATGCGATTCAATGCTGCAGTCAGACCTCCGTTCCTCCGAACTCCGAGCGGACGGAGGGAGTTCGACGTCCGCTCGGACGGACGTTCCTCGGTTTGGGACTTGGCCGAGGAAGGTCCGCCAGGTGGGGCGGAACGTGGTGATGGCATGTCATGACTACAACGCCCAGCTTCCGCCGGGGGGCGCAGCGTCGGAGGCGTCGCTCACCCGGACTCGTCTGACCGGTGCAGCGAACTAGACATGCAGACCAACGGAGAAGAGGGAGAGATTCTTCAGTTCTAGAGATTCAATTGCATGATTCGTGATTAGAAGAGCGCGAGCCTTGGATGTTGTGCCCCTAAACAAGTCCAGGGTGAGAGCAAGGTTAGGCATTGAAGTTGAAGTCCTGCATCGATTCTATCAGTCACTGTACTTTCTATTTTCTCGTGCCTTGGCCTTGTGAGTCCGAGGCCTGGTGCCTCAAGCATTGACAAGATGCGGCTTTGTTTGGTCAGTGGAGGGAAATTTGCCGGGCGTGTGCCCAAGGAGTGCCAAGTGCCAAAGAAAGAGGTACTAGACTAACTAGAATCAGTATCCTGTCAGCCTAGACCGGATTCCTTATGTCATATGTGTCAACTGATGGAACTCCGTTGGTGTTCTAGGGCAATTCCGTCGGTGTTCTAGGGCCTGGACGCTACCTCCTTTTTTGTTCGCTTTCTTTCGCCGCCGCTGCCGCCGCTCTTGCTGGGCGCGGCGCTCCTCGCTTCGCAGGAGGAGGTGGCACGGCAACTGGTTTTGGGAGTTCTCGATGCCCAGCTGGCAGACTCCTCCAGTCCAGAGGCGCTGCCAGAAGTGCAGTTCGCCTACGACACCGATGTTTTTCGTGGCTGGGCAGCAGATGGAATAGCGGAGGTGTGGCTTTGGTGAGAATTTTGGAAACATGCTTGTAGGATCTTGTAGGCTTATAGGTGGGATGTGGCTGATGTGGGAAATGCTGGAAGGTAGGTCGGTGATGTTCTCCATCAAAGTACCCCGCAATGTGAAAGTTCTTCGGGCAAACTTCAACGACTACAGGAACTTGATAGGACAAGTGCCCATACTTCCCTGAGCTTATATACTGTAATGCGTAGCGGCATAGCACAAAAAAAACACCAATTACTGTATATACTGATGCTTAATCACACAGATGCTGCAAGTACAGTATATAGGATTCAGTGAATACAGTAAAAAAAGGTGCTCAGTGCTGATCAGAGTTTCTGCAAAGTAAAACAGGCCAGGTTTGGGAGGCGCTCGTCGCGAAGAAGTGAGAGAGAGCAGCGCTGCACCTCGCGGGATGCGGGAAAATCATGGGTATGCTGCTCTCGCTGCAGCTGGGGGGAATCTGTCAAAAGCTTGGTCAGCTGACTGGACTCAAAGATGAGGCAAACCCATCATTTCCCATAGGACTTCTAGATCAGTTTGCGGACCGAGAATGCACAAGAACCAAGCGGAGATCCTATGCATTGAGTTCAGGTGTGAGTAGCCCAAGTTCGATACAGGACCCGGTCAGAGGTCGGAGGTAAACAGGCATTGAGGTTGCAGTTTGCAGCGTAGAGTGCTCAGTACTGTCTGTGTTGCTCCACATCCTGGCCAGTGTGATGCAGCGGATGAAGAAAAATGTCCTAGCGAACCCAGTGTCTTGTGACCGGCAGAGATAGACACGAGAATCTTCCGAACCCGGGACTTGTCAATCAGATTCAATCCGAATCCTTTAAATTAAGATGTCAGAAAAACCGTGCCGCTACGGAGGCTACCCCGAACGTCGTGAAGTCTACTGAGTCTACGAAGTTTACCGTGCTGACCTTGGGAGTTGGAGTGGCAAGTGCCAGGTCGGCAGCAGTGGACTCCAGTTTTTCTCTGGTTTTTAAAATGTACACTGCAATTCTACAAGGTTAAGGTGTATTAAGGTGCTTTTTTCTTTGGTGGAAGGCGTGGTCTTAGTCCATCATGCAGCCCCTGATAGGGTTTCCTGGACACCTCTCCTTCACGGCACATTTGCTTTAAACATTCCAAGATTGAACACCGAACGTTCGACGAAGAAGGACTTTCCCTATCAAAGAACAGTGCTGCAAAAACAAAAACAGTTTGGACAGATTGAATGCTGGAGTTCTGTGCTGATCAGGATTCGGAGATGGAGCGAGAAGCGAGTGAAGAGGCCACGAGACTAAGTTAGACCATGAGTCTGAGTCGCTGTGTCGAAGCTTGGGATTTCTTCGGATTCACCTAGACAGGGAGTGCTGGAACAGGTCTCCCTCTACACTCTACACTTGCATGCTGTAGGCTGTAGGCCCCAGAGCTTCGGCATACATTCACACCGCCTCGTGCTGGCATCGCAGGGGTGGTCTGACAGATCCTCATCACCTAGCATTTCGGTCTTGAACATATCACCATGGCCTTGCACGCGTCGTTGCACGGCACGACCGGCATCACCCCACCCTTTTGCACGTTCCACACTCGCGCGAAGTCTGCTGCGGGTGTGGGCAGATTTTGGTGCGCAAAGTCTGGCTTCAGCGCGTCAAAAAACACCTCTTTCTCGTGCATCTTTTTTGAGTAGGTAGGAAACTATGGGACCTTGGCCTGGCCAGGTCTCACGATTTGAATCAACGGCTACGCACGCTGAATGGCCGCAGGTTCTCCCATCCTCCATCGAGCAAGCTGAAAGACCCAAGACGCCCGATGTGGGTCGCTTGGGCGGGCCAAGTGGTTGTTGTTGGGTGGGTTGAGCCGTTGTCGGGTGGGTCGAGCCGTTGGAGCAGGTGTTTCGAGCCGTTGTAGCAGGTGTCTGTGTGGAGGGGAATTCTTGAGACTCCTCAACTCGATTCTGTATGTTGAGGATTTGTCCAAGATGGATGTCAAGGGTCGGACTCGTTTTTGTAGGCTGCGTCAGCTGGACCTTGCTTAGATTTGATCAGGAAAGGGCCCTGCAGATTTTACCAGTGAGACTCTTAGCTCCAAAGTGTTCGGGTTCAGTGCTCTCGATTTGTGTTTGGCCGAAGGTTGCCAAATTCTGACAGTTGATGTTCCATTACCCGGCAACTTTACATTATAGTGCACTTGGTTCTATACAAGCAATATCCGCCTGAATGAGAAGCAGCTCAAGAGCCAGGGCATGTAAGGAATGTAAGGTTAGATTCAGTCGCGGATGGTGAAATCGCTCTCGAATTGGGTGTTTCCTGTCCCTTAATTTTCGTTTGAGACCTCCATGGGTTCAGGACTTCGAGCTTCCTTTGGTCAAAGCCGGAGCTCCTCAACTCGGCAGGTCTCCCAGGTGAGAGCGCAGCTCGGGCAGCTCCTGCATGGCAACCCCCCCACTTTGAGATCCATTGAGGATCGGCAAATTCTTCGGTCTGGCTGGCGGTATAGCAGAAAGCTTTAGTGGTAAACAAAGACCATGATTCATATGAGTATGTGCAAGCTTTGTGGTAATGAGGGCCATCCACTAAACACGCTTGAGCGCTGCCATTTTTGCAACTATAGGATTGTATACCACACTCAATGTGTAACTAGGTGAGCAAACATGGACACCTATATATTATATATTGGATGTGCGAGAGACCAGAATGTGACTTGTAGGTGCTGGATAGCCCAGCTACTGAAGTTGGTTTTTTCACTGCCAATCACTCCCAGCTTGACCCTCCAGAGACTGAATGGAGGATATAGACCAAATATTGTCCAAGCGTTCATTCGGGGATGTGCAGGTATACCCACCTTATTACATCAGCTGTATTTCTAGTCTCCCATCCGCCCAGCGCCCTGCTTGCGCTCGCTTTGCTATGTCGTCTTGTGGCCAGCACCAGCCATGCCAGCCACAGACTGGATACAGACACATGTGGCTTTTGGACGATCGAGCGTAGTGAATGGTGGGATGAGTATGGTCGCCGACAGTGAATGATTCTGAATGGTAGTGAATCACTCAATGGTGGGTCGTCGACGACCATTCATGTGCTGATTCTGGATGCTTTCAGCACTTCGTTGGGTGGGTTGTTCCCCTGGGATTCGTCGTACGATAAATGTGCGCCTGTTGCATCATACTGGCCCTCAGGCAGACGAACGCCCTGCAAAGCGTAGGAGCTCCAAGGCCAAACGTGCACTCATTCGTACAACAGAAGCGATCTCGGATGCCAGAAGGCAACTAGATTGGCAGAGGGCCCTTTTTATTTATGCCAGCTACATCATGGAGCATAGTCATTCCCCAGAAGAATATGCCATCGAAATGCCATTGATCAACACGTCCATCTCAGCCTGTGAAATTGGCGCGTGTTGGCCCACGGCTTTGATATTGGCCGAACGCGCTCACGAACTTCACCTCAATCCGACTGCTTTCACTCTGTCAGCGTTGATGTCGGCATGTCGGCGAGGGCGTCAATGGCAAAAAGCACTGGAGGTCTATCACGGAGCAGGTCCCAAAGGTGTGGCGATTGATCCGACTTTGCTGGGGACCGCCATCACATGTGCCACTACAGGACATTTGTGGAAACATGCGTTGGACATTTTGGCTTCAGCTGTCCATCAAAGCATCAAGCCAACTCTAGCAATCGAAAACGCGGCCATTTTGGCTTGTGAGAAAGGACGGCAGTGGGCTATGGCGTTGTCATATTTCGAGGACATGAAATTCAGGAAAGTGTCTTTGACGACTGCTAATTCAGTCCTCTCTGCTTGTGAAAAGGCACGGGAGTGGCAGCATGCCTTGTGTGTGTTTGATGGCTTACCAACCTTGAGCTTGCAACCAGACACTATCAGCATGAATCTGGTCATTGGCTCATTTGCAGCCAGCCGCCATTGGGAGGATGCTTTCGAGCTGTTTCATTGCCTTTGCCGCTTGAACGAGGCCACGCACGTGTCCCACACCACGGTGCTTTCGTCCTGTGAGCGCGCCATGCGCTGGGAGGAGGCCTTGCAACTCATCCGGATGTGGCCTTGGAACAAGCAGAGCTTTGAGGTTGCTGCCATTGCAGCTGCCAGAGCTGGCCGCTGGCAGGACTCTTTGGTGTTGGCACAAGGGGTCTTTGGAGAGCAGCAGCTCATTCAGTCCTGTGAGCAGTCGGGTTGTTGGGGTCGATCATCTTGGCCTCGCTTGTGGCATTCGGCGCGCTTGGTGGAAGCCTTGCGGCGATGGAAGGTGGATTTGCCAGGACCGGCTGGCACGGCACCGCATGGCGTTGGCAAGCACATCAAGATCTTGACGCACCCAGGGACAGCTCCAAGCAATGCTATTTGGTGCTTGACTGCCCGAGATTGTCTCCAGAATGCTGCAATGACGAGGTGACGAATCCTGTCACCATTCGTTTTCGCGACGCCCTCCCTGATTCTCACCCAGCAGGGTCCCAGGCGGAGGAAGGCGCTGCATTTTGCGCGAGAGAAAGACAGCGAGCCTCGGAGCCCTTCGGTGTGTTCGGTGTGAAGATGGTGATCGTGCGCATTTTGAGACAGACTTAGACTCCATTTGAGATTTATTCAAGGAGAATGAAAGGGGGGGTCCAAGCATCTTGGGAGCATGTTGACATATGTTGACACTTCTGACACATCTGATGCCGTATGCATATTTTAGACCTTCACTTTTTCTCCGACCCTTGTTGTGGAGCGACTCCGCGAGCGACGGCGCACCCGTCCCACAGGCTGCATCCCGATCAGAGGTGTGGTGGCCGAGGAATAGAGATGCTGGGCGAACTTGGAGGTTCTCAGCCCCCGTTCTGAGCCAACGGGGTTGGCAACATCGGGATCGACCTCAAATGGTGCCCTAGTCCAGGAAGTTTCCTTGTGCAAGTGGCTGAACATGTGGAATGTGCTAGTGGCTGAACATGTGGAATGTGCTAGTCTCAAAGAAGGCCCTCAAGTGCGCGATTTTGCTGGTGAAGAGTGGATGAACACATGTATCACGTGGCCGCAACTTGTGTGCTAACATGGTTTCGACCCCACGCCATCTGAGATGAGAGGTGTCCAATGAGTTCCGGGATCTGCCACTTTTTGTGTCCATTCGTGGAGATATAAAGGTTGTGCAACTTCTCTCTTTTCTAGGCTTTTTGCCCACGGAAAGTAGCGGGTGGGAATCATTGTCATGAACAAAATGGGACATGCTGTGCCTCAAACTCAATCATGAAGCGTGTGAAAGAAGGTTGCCACTGAAGGACCATAGTACATTGTTGTACTTAGCAATTGCCTTGACGAATGTAATTACTGCTGCCCATGCCAGCACACCAGCTACAGGATCCCCACTTGGAGCATACATGTGCCAACAATCCTCCACCCTCTTGAAAGATTCACAAAGCTAGTTTTGTTTGGAGTGCTCCAGACCCTTCCGACTTCCGAATGAGGCGTTTTCGTCGCCGCCTCCTTGGCAGCCGGCGTTTCCGCGGCCAAGGCCATGTTTGCGCGCTGTTAAAGATCCCTAGTCTTCCCGGCCCCTCAAGCTTTCAATGCCTTCCTCTCAGCCATTTTGGCGCGTTGTGTGCAGGACAGAATCACCTCAAAGGCCCATTGGCGCAAGCAAGAGCAAGATCATGTCGGACAAAATGCCGCCATGGCGGAAGCCAAAGCAGCCTGAGCCCGTCCAAGGGAAAGGCAAAGCAACCGGCAAAGGAAAGCGAAAAGGGAAAGGCACTGAAAAGGGTGCCCGAAAGGGATCTTGGCAGTGGGGAAAAGAAGGAGACAGAGGTGTGCTCAGGGTTTTCGGCCAACTTGCTTTTGGCCATGCATTTGACGAAGTTGCTTTTGACCTTGAAAGCTTGGATGACCCCTGATGTCAGGTTCGGTGTTTTGATGGCCTTCGGGCCTCGGAAAACCGCAGGTTCGACCGGAAAACCGCAGCCGTTGACCGGCGCAGCCGTAGGGAGGAAGGCGTCGCCCGTTCGCCTTCCAAGTGCTGCCACCTCAGTGGGTGCCGAAACGGATACCGGAGGGGCGTGCCCCTATTCGGGCAACCAAGTCCTCACCGTTTTTCCTTGGTGTTGAGACTTGGCTAAATATTGATAATATTGTACATACAGACGCACACACACACTTTGTATATATATATATGCACGTAATGCACATCAAATTAGCAGCGTAGATTTGGAACAGTTTGCAGCATGGAACCTCGAAAACCAAAGTACTGTTAGGTTGAGAGCGCGAGGGAATGCAGTTTGTCGCTCTTGCTTGCCACGAGGCTTTGACCTGCGACCGAGGCCAGACACACACACACAACTTCTCTCTCTCTCTCTCTCTCGCTCCCTCCCTCTCTCCCTCCGTTCTCCCTCCCTCCCCCTCCCTCCTTTTCTGCCACATTCTCTCTCTCTCTCTCTTGGTGAAAGTGGTGTTGGACAGGTGCATGGGGCTGGTGTTAGTGACCTTGCATCTGTTTGAGATTAAATGAAGGAGTTCATTGGTTTTCTGAGGCTGGCCATGTGCGGGCTTGTCAGGTGGTTATGACGGTTATGACTAAGGATATGCGCCCCAAACCCCTTGATCAATGGAAAGCACAGCCAACTTTGCGTGTCCCTAGTCCTGGGTCTTGTTGTTGAGGCCTACCTAGAAACCTAGAAAGGCAATGGTGTGATCCCACATTGGAGGTTGATGAGACTCGTTGATGCATTCGTACACCAAAGCTTGGCCACCTGACCTCCAGGATGGGCAAAGCTGGAGCTTCTCGTTCGGAGCTCAGACAGCCAAAGTTGGCCCAAGTTGAAAGCTCATTAGATAGGGCTCCTTCTATAAACCTCTCTCACGCATCCAAAGGTACGGGGGTGGCAGACATGGAGGCCGAGAGATTGGCTAACCCCATGCACGCTCATGAAGCTGAATTTGTGCCGCCAAGGGGTGTGAGGCATTCAAGAACAGAGCAAGTGAAGTGGTTTGTTTTGTGTGTGATGTGGACTCGGGATGTTAGGGTGTTTCTCGTTTTGGAGCGGCCTCGACCAGCGTTGGGATGTGCAGTTTTCATGGAGTTTGGCCAGGGCATTCCTACCCCGATGCCAGTGGGGCTGCTGAACCGTGTGCCAGCCACTCAAGTTTTTTTCTGGTCAGCAAAGGGAATGAACAAACTGGATGCTGTAAACCAGGCTTTGCACAGTCTGAAACATCACGCTGACAGCCAGATTCCATTGGCCTTCTTTCGTGTCAAAACCCTGCTTTCGCTTTGTACTTGTATCTCTTTGGCTTGCATGGCACTTCACAAGCAGCCAGTGGAGTTTGCTTCACCAGCTGAATTCCATGTCACGAAAGGTAGCTTGAGCTACCTGAGTTCTCCTTGCTTTAGCAAAAATGTATTACAATCAGGAGTTGGGATTGTGCATTGAATTTGGTCCTGTAAGAGTTGATTCTGTTCGTCGGGGGG